TCACTGGCTGAGAAGATTTGGCTTGATGGGGTGAAGAACCTGGTAAAGGGTTCTGTTTCTTCTCCTAATGTTATTTTCCCAGTTTCCTCCTGTGTTTTCTTACGAATTCCATTTATTTTGGTTACAGTGTCCAGGCTGTGGCTCCTGAAAATTCCCTCCAAGGGGGGATGCAAGGGTTGAACTCTGGAAACTGGAGAAAAGGATTTATGTCCATAGATCTGGTGTTTTCCTGGTTCTCTTTCTCAGAATCCCTTTTCTTTTAGACCAGCCATAGGCAAAACTTTTAGAGACACACACAACCTTCCAAAATATGAAATGAATTGAGTGCAAGAATCTGCACCCCCCCCCCCACCCCAACCTTGTAGGAAGGCATAGGCTCCATTCAGGTTGAGGCAGAGGCTGAAGTTGGCTCTGTTCTAGCCTAGGTGGAAGCCTTCCTTGCTGGGGGGATGTGAGGGCCACCCTGGTATGCATGGGAGGAGGGACAGGCAGGAATTGCTGTACAGTCCTGAGCCTGGGGCCTCCATGACTTTGCCCTCCATATTATTGCAAAGCAGAGGATCACTTTTGGGGAAGAAAACTGCATCAGGACATCTCCTTTGGTGATGTGTGCCCCGCCGCAATTCCTCCGCAGTCAGTCACCCTCTCCCTCTCCTCCTCCTCCGAACACAAACATGCCATAGAGAGCAGATGGGACCCATTCTATCTTATTGCATTGCTGGCATTTTGCACCTCTACTCTCTCGCTGCAGCAGGCCCCTCTTTCTTAGCCCGGAAAGCCCTTTACGATGACTTTTTCTAAACCTGGACTAAGGATGAGAAGGTGGATATTACTGATGCTTGACAAGGAATGAGTGTGTGCTCTGGGTTATTGCTTTTGTTAAGTGTGGCATCCTCTGTCTTCCCTGGCCATGGTGAAATGCCCAGACCCTCTGCTGCTGCAGCACAGAGGAGGGTGGGGCACTGAACACACTTCTCATAAAAGGTGTGTTTCTGAGGTGCTCTGCCTTGTGTGTCCCTTAACAATGGATTACTGTGGTAACTATCCATCTGAAAAAAAAATGCAAGAGTAAACAGAAGATAAAGCTCTTGCTCAACTAGCTGGAGGGTGGATCTATGCCCCTGTTTGTTATCCCTACTTGACACAGCTCCCTCCTACCTACCCATATAAAGGTGAGGGCCCACTCTATGGCGGTAGGAGTATGGGGAGGCAGTAATTTTGGCTTGCACAAATCAAAGACGAGCTGGGGCTTTGCAAAAAGGAAGAGCCTTGGATTTTGGGGCTCCCTGGTAAAGAAGGCAGCAGAATGACATATCTGCCCAGCTCTTTCCAGGGAGCTGAGATGTTCTTCCTTTCTGCTCCTCCTCATCAATCTTGCTACTCACTGTCACTTTTAGTTGGTCCAGTGTGGCATCCCTGATTCCCAGTTGAATTAGCAAAACGTGAGCATAGTCCTTGAAGTTTCCCTAGTAGAGAAACTGAAGCTACTGAACTTTCAGTCACAAAGTAAGAGCATAAAGGGGTAAACCTTGCAAAGCCAGGGAGAATATCCTTTAGCTCTTGAAGAATGTATCTTCAGGTTTCTCAGCTCCGTGAGCATACTTCTGGGCTACTCCATTGCTTTCTTTTTTTGTTTACATACTGCGTGCCCTCACCCAAGTCAGGGGCCCAACCACACTCTTCCAGGTCTTTTTACTCATCATTCTAATTTTCCCTGCACATACACAAAATGAAGGCAGCACTGCAGAAAATAAAGACCACATCCCTCCCTCCTCCCCCACCACCAACGGCTACTGAGACTTCTCTCAGGGAGGGCCTTCCTCTAACGTTTTGGGCAGCAAGAGGAAACAGGCCACCTCTACTTTCCTGAAAAACTGTACCTTCAAACGATTTTCTTGCCAAAGGGTTGGGCTTAGGACTTAGCAAAACAGGTCACCACTGTGGGCATTCTCATCCTCCCTTCCTTCCTCTTTGTTTTTAATGAGGGGGCAGATAAAGCATTCTTAGCACATTATGTTCAAAAGATTGTAATCCATCAGCCTCCTCCTGTATATTCTGGCTCTGCCGATACAGATGGCCCAAGACTTTGCTGTGGCCTCTGAAAGGGGAAGGTTGAGGAAGGGAGGGGAAGCCAGCAAAGTAGGCTATAGCTCCATGGTACCTGATATGCCTCTCAGGCCTTCCTGCTGTGAAGATTCTGCCCAGGGCCCATCGTGGCTGACTCTCCTTCCTGTTCCATTGCTTCCAGGTTCTGTGTTCTTGTTGGGCTTAGACTTTTGGCTTGGCTTCCTCTTGGGCTATGGGCAGGACAGTGGCATTGCGGATGTGCTTCCCCCTCCATGAACACAGGAGAATGAAGGCCTAGCTGGGCTGGCCAGGCAGGCATTTCTGCATTCATGGCACCCAGGGCCCAAGGTCACATAGGCATAACAGGCACCTTTTTCACTTGGCCAAGATGGGCCCATCACTGCTGGGCACTGGGACACTACCATGCTCAGTGATAAGGAATCTTCAGTGAAACTGCTGGGTGGCCGTCTCCCTGCACCACTGGTAAACTAAACTGCGCTGACACTGGTACAGGGAAGGGAGTAGCCCTGGGGAGATGGATGGGTGAAAGTGAGAAATATGAGCCCCCTCCACCAGATTCCATGTAAGTACTGGCTATCTTGCTTTCTACTCTGCCTTGCTTTTGTGGCTCTCATATGTGTAAAGCCCAGGTAAGGGACCCTATGGCACCCTTTATCACTCTCTATCACTAGCATGTGCAGCCCTGCAGACCTGGGAACACTGAGAAGACAGGGGCCTCATGGTGCCTTGGGTCCCTCCCACCAAGCACAGAGTTGTATGTCATCAGTGTGGTGATCATAGAGCAAATGAATTCTGCCTTGGATTTAGAGGGAAACCTGCTGTTTCAAGTGTGACTGATCTCCTTCTACCCCTGCCCCCTACAAAGTTAATATGAGACTTTCCTTGAATAGCCAAGCAACTTTTCAGCTTTACACACATACAGCAGGTTTTTTGCATTGGGTTGAGCTCTTAGTACCTCTTTTTCATATTGTGTCATACTGTAAATTTTTAACACATTATTTTTGTACAGCTAGAATTTTGTTCCTAGTTATTTCATAATGATTCTGAGTGCTGATGTTGCTGGAGAAATCTAGTGTTTACAACATAACTAAATATTAGAAATTCTTTGATACTGGGAAGAGGTCAGACTTGAATTGGGCCCAAAAGGGTAGCTTAAAATGACACATCCCACATGGGCAGAATTGGGCAGAATCTGGTGGAGGGGCTCACATTTCCTACTTTCACCCATCGTCTCCACAGGGCTATTCCTGCTGGCCACCCAGCAGTTTGACTGAAGCTTCCCTATCATTGATCATGGTAGTGTCCCAACGCCCAGCAGTGATGGGCCCATCTTGCCCAAGTGAAAAAGGTGCCTGTGATGCCTGTGTGACCTTGGTCCCCAGGTGCTGTGAATGCAGAAGTGGAGAGTATAACATCCATTCTGGGCCTATCCGTATGCTTCACTAAGAAAACAAGGAGACTGTGATGAGGTTGACAGGTTACCAAGAGCACTGTAATGCCAAGGAGAAAACCAGGCCTTGCCAAAGGGCACTTCCTAATTCCCACCATCTTTGGTGCTGTGGAAAACCTGTCTTGTTTTGTGAGACTGTGCCCAGATGGCAGGTAAATCAACTCTAACTTATTACTAACTATAGGTTACACTCATAGCCCTTCTAGTTTTTCTTTTCTCTCATACTTATTATTTTGAAAAATTTCAAACATACAGAATGTCAAGAATACTCTTATTTCATCACCTTACATATTTATTTCCTTGTGTTAGAACTTTTAAAATCTATTGTTTTAGCAATTTTTAAATATGCATGATTGTTAACTGTAGGTACCATTCCGCACCTACATTAAAACTTCTCCTAACTGAAACTTTGTCTTTTGACTAACATTCACCCCGACCCTACCCCCAGTCCCTGATTCCACATAGTAATGAGCTCATGTTGTATTTGTCCTTCTGTGCCTGGCTTATTTCACTTAACATAATGTCCTCCAGGTTTATCTATGTTGTTGCAAATGACAGAATTTCCTTGAAAGAGGAACATTCTTATATACCTAGATTTAAGAGCTGTTAACATTTGCCATACTTGCTTTGTTCCTTAGAGCTTTTTCAGAATGGAGGGCAAGTTGTATGCATGTATACATAAACACCTCAGCATGTATCTCCTAAGAACAAGGATGCTCCCTACAGAATGGCAATGCCATTATCACACTTAAGAAAATTAATAATTCCCTAGTATCTGATGCCCAGTCCACATTCAGATCTCTTCAGTTGTCTACAAAATGATTTTCATAGCTTTTATTAAAAGAATCAGGATTTCATTAAGGAGTGACATTATTTTTGGCTGTTATGTCTTTTTAGCCTTTTTAAATCTACAGCACCCCCCTTCCACTTTTAAAAATGCATTTATGACATTGACTTTGTAAATAATCCAGTCACATCCTTCTAGTTTTGTATCCAGATGTATAGGCATTCAGCATTGATGTAATCAACAAAGACTTAACAGGCTTCCTCAAGAAGCCATCCTGTCTTCAAAACCCTATAAGCAGGTATGGTACACTCTCACCACACTGAAGACTTTGGGTTTGGCCTGGTGACATCCGCAGTGCTAATTTCAAGCACCTTTCTGGGAAATGGGAGTCGGATCTCAGCCCTCCCACTCACTCACTGAGTGATCTTCAGCTGGTCCCTTCTCCCTCAGCTTCAGTTCCTTCATCTCCCAAACAAGGGCATTGGACCTGGTGCCTCCTAGGTCTCACTCAGGTTTGCCATTCAGCACCTCTGTGACTCTGCCCACAGATTCTCACCTCAGCATAGCTGCTTCCTGAAGCAGCTGCCTGTGCCCATTCCTGGCACTGAATGCGGGAAGTCGGGGGGGACACATGGTCCTCTACCATGACCATACTCTCATCTCTGTTCCTCACAGCGGAGATTCTGGAGCTGGCTGGCAATGCAGCGAGAGACAACAAGAAGGGACGGGTCACGCCCCGGCACATCCTGCTGGCTGTGGCCAATGATGAAGAGCTGAATCAGGTATGGGACTCTCCCACCCATCCCCCACTGATGCTTGAGGAGGTGGTCATAGTGCCCAAGAAACATAGCTGAGTGTGGACTGCATTTTGGATTAATTAGCAGATTCCCTGCCTCCCATGGCAGTTTTTCCCCCAAGGCCTTATTGGGAGTGTTGGGGGAAGTAGGATAAAACAGGGTATTTGGCTCTCCCTGAAGGAGAGAGATTATCTGAATTCCATTCAAGTAAGGGACTCTGGGGACTGGATTCCTGAGCTATGAGCCTGAGTCCTGACAGCATCCTCATGGAAAATGCCATGGAGGAAGGAGCCGCACCAACCAAAGCAAGACTGTCCTGGGCAGGGCTGGCTTCTTGATGGTCAGAAGCAGGGTATCTGGCTCACTATCTGCCATTTTGGTTTTCCTGAAAGCTGCTAAAAGGAGTCACCATAGCCAGTGGGGGGGTGTTACCCAACATCCACCCCGAGTTGCTAGCGAAGAAGCGGGGATCCAAAGGAAAGTTGGAAGCCATCATCACACCACCCCCAGCCAAAAAGGCCAAGTCTCCATCCCAGAAGAAGCCTGTGTCTAAAAAAGCAGGAGGCAAGAAAGGGGCCCGGAAATCCAAGGTACGTGATTTGGCAGGGATGTATGAAGTGGGATAGGATGGGGTACAGATAAACAGGGTTACCAGGGCTCCCCTTCCTGCTGTGGGCTCATCGCACTCATGAGGGACTAAAGGAAGAAGATGTAGGAGCTGATTACACTTCAGAGGGGCCAGTAGCCAGGAGGCCCTTCCAGAGTCTGGACCCAGGTGGAGGACAGAATCCCTGCAGGCAAGGGGGATGAACAATGAGCTTTCAGGGATAGCTCCAAGCTGGAAGGACTCCCAAGCTGTCCCTTCCAGGAAGATGTACACACCTGTGGGAAGGGGGCTTCCCTGTGCTAAGGGACAGCCATTGTCTAGTCCTGTGGTCAGCTGCCTGCATGCTCGGCTGCTCAGTTGCAGAACTCTCATTGTGTTGCTGTGGCTGTGTATCTTCTGCCAGGATGCTCCAGACAGTTCGCTTTAGAACGCTTGCCTCTGACAAGGAGGAAAATGGATGTACTACTCAGGTGCTTCCTCCTGGACCTAACTTGGATTGGCCGGGTCCTAGGTGCTGGAAACCCTCTAATTAGCATCATCTATTGTCGTCTTGGGTGGAGAAGGCCAGCAGACTCCAGGTCATGATCCTCAGTGTGGAGGAGCACCCTCCGGAGGTCCAGGCCAGTGACTGCTGTGCTCACCTGTCTCAGCATGAGCCAGAGACTACAAGGCAACTGGGATGCATTTTCTTTGTTCCTTCCTTGCTGAGTCCTACCTGTCAGCTGTTGTCACAGACTCCAGAGCCAACAAACAATAGACAGTACAACCAAAGTTTGGTCTCTAAGAAAATGGAATCTTGAGGCTGCCCTGCTCTGAAGTACCCCTTAAGGAGTCCTCCTGGCCTCCAGCCAGATCAGGAGGAAATTACCCCTAGCAGAAGGTGACTTCCCTCAATTAGAAGTCCCTGGAAATGCCCTGTGAAATCTAATGATGCAGTGTCAGGAAGTTCTTCCTACATGAGACCAAAACCTCTCATCTGAGACAGTAAGAACACCTTCCCAGGACAGGCTCAAGGAGCTGTTGCCAGGTGAACAGAGCTCCTTCTGTCCTGTCAGCACGTCCTTTCCTTTGAGCCTGCCTGTGCCTCAGACTGGCCCTTCACTGCCCCTGCATGTAGGGGCATCTTCTGTGACCTCAGCCTTTTTGCATCCACACTGTTTGTGGAACTTTCTTCAGTTGAGGTGGAAGAGGCTGTATTTCTTTGCATGCACAAAAGCTAAAGTTCTCTTGCCAACATGCCACCCACCCCCCAGAGTCACTCCCAGCTCTTTCAGAGAGAAATCCAGTATTGAGGAGTGTCCCCTAAGTTATTTCCAGACACTTGCATTCCACCTAGCTCACAAGTCCTAGAGGAGGCTTGAGGCCAGGCAGAGATTTTACAGAATGCTCCACTGCTCATTCCTGCTAACTATAAAATGAGCAGATTGGATGGTTTATTTTTCCCTTTCAACATTTGCAGTTGGGAGGAGGGCAGGGAAGGGTAGGCAGGGGGAAAGTGAGTATGTAACCTTTTTTAAATGTTGAAAAGGCAACGAAGATACTGAATCCATCATCTTTTGATAATGAGCCCCAGAGACCTGGCTGCCTATAGAGCAGGGCCCTTGGTGCTGAGGACCAGCAGGGCAGGACCACGTCCTCAGGTTAGCCTTTGCTCTGGCTGTGTCCTAAGCCACTGCCCTCTTTCATGCATTTTCACTGTTGATATTTGAATGGGTCTCTCAGATGCCAGTGTCTGCTGGCAACCTGGGTTGAATCTTGTTCCCGTTACCCTAGTTTTCCCCTAGTAATTTTTGTTCTATGACTTTCTGAACTTTCTTATTTACTAAACACTAGGAATTCATCTTTCTTTTTGGACTTGAAATATTGGGGGTTGGTGTCTTTAGCTCCTAGTAGCTATATTTGGAACTTAGTGTTTCTAATAACCATATGCCAATAATCACTCAACCACTCAACTTTTCCCTTGATTACAAAAGCAGGAAGTCTGTTATGGTGGTCTGTTTTTCTTCCACACAATAAAACACATTGTCTGCTTACTGTACCAGTATTTGGCTAACATTAAACCCTGGGGGAAGCTGAAATTGGAACCGTGAACAGCTAATTTTCAAAACATTTGTTTAATGTAAATTGTGGTGTCAGCTCCCAGAAACAGCAGAGAACCCTGCATCTCTAGGTTTAAGTGGAACGTTCTGAAAATAACCTTTCCAGGGACATCCAGAGAAAGCTTTAGTAACATGCTAAAGCACTTGTAGTGAGAGTTGGTATTTTTCAAGTGTCAACACTTGAATTCCAAATCATAATTTTCCCACAATTCTATGTAATTTGGAGGTTTTGAAAATCTCCAGTTGTGACAGCTGAGTCAGCTATAGTGGAAATGGTTGGAGAAGGCAACAAACTGCACCAGGGGCTGGACATCCAGAACCCCGGCTGTACACTAGGGATCCTCCTCTCTACTTGGGTGGCTTCAGGCAAGTCTGTTCCCTCTCTGTGCCTCAATTTACCTCCACCCATAAAATGATTGGGTCCATTCCAGCCTTACAGTTCAGTAACCATATGCATATTGCATAGTATTTTTGAGTAGAGCATATGTGTATGAGTTTGGACAAAAGAGTATGCAGTAAAAAAAAAAAAAGGCTTGTTCCCACTGTAGTGCTTCCCCCTACTTCTTCCCACGGTACTCTCAATGAGTTTTTATGTCTCCTTTCAGAAAGTCTATGCATATAAAAGCATATAGAGATGTAACTCCCTCCCCATCCTACTTGCTCTTCTTTTTTTTAAAATATCATATGACCTATTTTAGTAGTGTGGCATAGTGGTCAAGGGTGCAGGCTCAGGAGTCAGCCATTTCCTAGCTGCATGATCTTGGCAAGTTACAGAACATCTCTGGTGTTCAATTTCCTCATCTTTAAAAAGGAGATGTAACACAAGGTGGTTTTGAGGCTTAACGGAGTTCATGGAAGTGTATAGAACAGTGTCTGGCACTTGTGTTCCCTGCCACTCTCATTCTCTGGCCAGTCCTCCCGTATCTCTGCATGTAGAACTGCTTTAGTGTTCTGTGGGGTGGCTGATCACTTAGATGATATATAAAACCTGTGTAGCCAGCTGAATTAGTCCATTTTCACACTGCTGTAAAGAATGGCCTGAGACTGAGTCGTTTATAAAGAAAAAGAGTTTAATTGACTCACAGTTCCACAAGGCTGGGAAAGCCTCAGGAAAGTTACTATCATGGCAAAAGGTACCTCCTCACAGGGCAGCAGGAGAGAAAGGAGCAAGCAGGGGAAATGCCAGGCACTTATAAAACCATCAAATCTCATGAAAACCCATTCGCTATCAGGGGAACAGCACAGGAGAAACCACCTCCCATGATCCAGTTACCTCCATCTGGTCCACCCTTGACACATGGCATTACGGGGATTACAATTTGAGGTGAGATTTGGGTGGGGGCACAGAGTCAAACCATTTCACTGGTGTTCTACAAGTGGACTTTTAGATTGTCCTAGCATTCATTCTGACAAACAGTAACTGTCCTGTTTGTGTATCTCTGTCCTCACGTGCAAGCAAATGTATAGGAAAAGTCCTCAAAGTGAACTTACTGAGGCAAAGAATGAGTGTATTTTTAACTTTGGCTATTACTTACAGGGCATTTTAACTGCATTAAGAAATCTCAAAAACCACCTCATCCTCTTAATGTTTATTACTGAGTTTTTAAAAAATGAATATTCATTAGACCAATTTGTATCTACTGTGTATACACTAGTTATTATTCTCAGTAGTGGAGACGTGGCAGAGAACAAAGTCCCTACCCTCCCTCAGTGTTCAGAGAGGAGGTGCAGATTCATTACAGAAGGTGGGAAGGAGTAGCTGCTATGACAAAAATAAAGTATTGTGATGGCAGAGCCAGTGTTATTTTATGTAGGCAGGAGGTGAGGTTTTACTGTCATGACACTGGAGCAGAGCCCCGGCAGAGAGAGGTATTTGGCCATTCTAGTGACTGGGAGCAGAGAGCTCCTGGCAGAGGAATGGCAAGTAGGCCTGGGGTGGGAGCATGCCTGGCCTCTCTTGAGAGAACGTGACAGGACTTGCCTGTGGGCTCCCTAACATTTTTGTAACATGGATACTTTTGGTAGTGGGAGAAGCCTGGGGACCTTACTCAAAAGATTCCAAATGCATAAGGTAAAATACCTAAAATTCAAAGGAAACTGGGCCAGGCGTGGTGGCTCACACCTGTAATCCTAGCACTTTGAGAGGCTGAGGGGAGTGGATCACCTGAGGTCAGGAGTTCAAGACCAGCCTTTCCAACATGGAGAAACCCCATCTCTACTAAAAACAAAATTAGCTGGGCATGGTGGCACGTGCCTATAATCCCAGCTACTAGGGTGGCTGAGACAGGAGAATCTCTTGAACCTGGGAGATGGAGGTTGTGGTGAGTCAAGATCGCACAATTGCACTCCAGCCTGGGCAACAAGAGCGAAACTCCATCTAAAAAAAAATTCAAACAATACTATGCCTAATTTTGTCCCTCAGGTTAAGATCTATCAGAGTGTATACTAAGAATCACAAGGTAACTTCTAGGGGATCTCTTAAGAAGCCAGTTTTTGCCAAACTTGTGGATAAATAATGATCTCACCAGGGATTTTTTTCAAACACAGACCATCAACAAATCTTACCCTATCCCCATGTGAAAGCTACTCTCCTAGAGTATAAATCTAGGCTTGCTCCTCACTACCCAGGAAAAGCCCGTCGTGATTTTGGTAGAATGTCTCTTTCTCTTGTTGAGGAATATTTAAACTGCATATTCCGTGATTAATGTTTTGGTAAGGGAAGCCAGAGAAAGGAATTGGTTCATTTGAGAAGCTACTATTACAGAATTTTGCTTGCCTTCTAATGAAATTTTAGGCTATTCAAACAGAATAACAGAGACTAAACATAGGTAAGTGTGGGGTGATGATTTTATGTAAGTCTTTCTGGATGCTCAGTTCTACAGCTTCTTAAATGTCTCCCAGCTGATTCTGACCTAACACATTTTCTACTGCTCAATACAAAGCTAGGCGAGTGTCCAATACATGGGAATTTATGAGTTTGCGGGACAATATAAAATTATAACAGCCATTTTGGAGCTGACAGACATGATTGCTTACTAATTTTTACTTCCCCTAAACTGAGATATAAAAAGAATCTACCGTAGTATCACTATTTCATAGAAGAAAAGGCATTTTAATACCAAAACCTAGGAAGAGACATATTTCAGACAATAGATTTTGTGAAAAACTTGGGCACAGTTGCTGTGATTTGAATGCATTAACATCTCACAAGACAACAGTGCTGACCTTAAGCACCTGCTCTGTTGTCCGGTCGGGTGGCAACCTTGAAGGAAAAAGGCAGAAGTTCTCTGCCAGTGGGTGGGCTATATAGAACCAGGCAGTAATGGCTTGTCTCTATAGTGCTTTACTGCTTTCTAAGGCCAGTCGCTTACTTAGGAACTCTCCAGTGTTGGTCTCATTTTCTGTCTTTTGCATTTTTGGTAGCAATGGGGTTTTGCTGTGTTGCCCAGGCTGGTATCCTCCCACGTTGGCCCCCTGAAGTGTTGGGATTACAGGCATGAGCCACCACTCCCAGATCCAGTCTTATTTTCCAAATAAGGAATCTAAGGCTTAGGGAAAGGGAGCAATTTTCCCAAGGTCACACTGTTAAGGGAGCCAGGACCCAAATACAGAACTTCAGAGTTCAAACATAGTATCACTTTTATGTCCTGTGACCATGGAACACTTCCCTGGGCAAAAAAAAAGGCCCTTCTGTTCTGATGGTGGAGGGCTGCAAAGCCACCCACTGCAGGGTGAGTTGGGGGCAATAGCCTTAATGAATCATTGCTGAAAATCACCAGTACTATTGCAGCTAAGCCTTAGAATCTGGCTGCAAATGTGGCTACTAATTTGTATTAGGAGCACAGGGAAGCTCAAAGGCCTCCCTCCTCCCAGTAAAACCAGCTCCAACTCCCAAATGCCTGAAATCCTATCAGCTAGGTCTTTCTCACTTCTTAAAATCCAAGTATCCTTGTCAGGAAACACTAAATCCTTATCTACTTATCCTTCCGTGTAAGCACCTTTACCTCATTTCCAAGCATTTACTGAGCACCTCCTGTATGTGTGGTATTGCACTGGCTAGGGTAGAGCAGTGGTTTTCAAACATTTTTTGCTTGTATACCTTCTCAAAGAATTTTTAAAATATGACACCTAAAATTCTCATAAATTTAAATCACTGCAAAGGGTATTTTTTGTATACTGTGAATATGGACATTTGAAAAGAACTTTTCTCGTTTAAATGTATCCAATGAAATCTAAATACTAAACAGATTTGATACATCTATTTAAAATGTACAAACAAGCTCTTTTTTTAACAGTTGGAAAATTTACATTTTCTTATTTCTCTTTTACTTGTCCCGTAAACTTTCACCTTAACACATTTCTATTCTATATATTTTTGAATTCTACACAAAAATAATGTATATAAATTTCAATTTTGAAAAATTTTCTTTTGACTTTTATAAATGTGCTAAATAGTAGATTCTACAAGATTGGATAGTTAGCACATTTAATATACAATTGATCAAACTGATAAATGCATTACACATTCTAATAACTGTTAAGGAAAAGGTAAAATTTTATTGGAAAAGCATCTTGATGGGCTGGCTGGATTTTTCCCCACTAACTAGTTCAAGTATCCTCAGATGAATATTACTTATTGCTGAAATGAAACACAGTTCAGTATCCTATTTTTATATATTTCTAGATATAAGTGTCTGGAAAATGTTTACTTAAAAAAAATGGAAATTGAAAGGATTTTGTTATAGCAACATCATTCAGTCCTCTGAACTCTGATATATGCCAACAGTACGTAGTATAATCTCATCAATTTGGTTTAATAGATGTTTTATGTTTGAATAGTGTTAGATTTAAAGAAGGGTTACAAAGATAGTACAGAGTGTTCTTGAACATCCCTCACCCAGTTTCCCCATAATCATCACCTCACATAACCATGGTACACTGGTCCATTACTGTTAACTCCACCAGTCTGTTTTCTGATCAGCTGTTAACTCAATTAGGTATTTCTTCAGTTTTGTTGAAGCACTGCATTAAAAACATCTGACTTGTGAAAGTCTGTTATGCAGCCTTTCCTATTCTTGGCTCCTGAAAAGTATATCAAAAAGGGCTGCACTAAGATTTACCATGTAATTGTTATACCTGTTTCTCTTTCACTCTTCAAATGTTAAACACTCAAAGTATTAGGAAAACCAAAATAGTGATAACTGCATCTTTGCCAGAACCATATTTCTAGATAAAATGCTTTTTCTCCTATTTATAGCATAACCTTTAGCTCATTAAATTCATGAAAAATGCTTGCCATATAACATAATTGCTAAAGCAGCCCTTGTTGTTAAAGCCATTAGCAAAATTAGACGTTACTTTTCATCGTAAGTAAAAAGTGTTTATATGTTTATGTTAATGAATTTGAACCCTAAATAGGCAAATGGATAGGACACAGGATTTGCCCTGAGTTTATTCAGATATATCCTTCAGGAAGGCATGGCCATCTGTAATATTTCTCACCCCTTCTTTCTGGATTTCCTCTCACTAGACCCTCCCTCAGGAGTGAAGTAGTACTTTTTATTTGGGGAAGGGAAATGAAAACCAACATTGTTATCACTATCCTTACTCTACAATTTATTTGAATGCAGAAAATCTCCAAATTAGCCAAAGTACCCGTTTCTAATACAGGCTTTGTCCTTAATAGAAATATGCCAGAAACATGCATCCCTACTCCCACAGTGGTGTGCCATATTAATACTTACTCTGGGAAGTGGGAGGAGTAGACAAAAGGAACTCTGGTGTGGAACCTTGACCACAGGTATAGATCCTTCTTAGGGCAGATCAGTTGTAGGAAAATGTTAGGAAGTAGGTTATTGGAAAGTTGGTTTCTTAAACTCTTGTTGTCATATACCTCTCAGAAGATCTTTGAGAACTCCAGGGCATACATATTTCAGCCTTAATGACACTGAGGAAGAAGCTGAAGAGCAGGCCAAGAACCATACCCACTACTGGAGTCAGGGGGTCCCTAGGGTGACAGATGGTTCACCACAGCCACCAGATGCATCCTTCTCTAAGGCTGGCTTCAATGAAGGAGGGTAGAAGCGAGTCTTACCTTCTGGAGTCAAGAAGGTGGGAGGGTTATGGTCCTTAGTCTGCTTTTTGAGAACTAGTGACCCAGAGCAGTTTTGCTTAAGCTTGAATAGTATTACAGACATCTAGAAAGGAAAGACACTTGAAGATCCTTAAGAGACATTTACTTGGTCTGAATTTATGAAAATGGTTTTATTCTAAATGATCACTGTAAAGTAAAGTTTTACCTTTAGGTAGCTGTTTTTGTTTTTTTGTTTGTTTTTTAGATTAAAAAGTGATTAAAATATAATTTAACATATTCCATAGAACTCTTGTACCTCAAAATGAGTCTGAGCCTCCCACCTGGAGAAATGCTGAGAACTGGTTGTGGTTTAGTTTCCTGTTCCCCTCGGGTGTTATGGGCAAGCCTTGGGAGCTGCCTCTCTGTTAGGATGCCTGTGCCTGTGTGGCCCACATTCTGACTCTTCTGTCTGTGCAAGAAGAAGCAGGGTGAAGTCAGTAAGGCAGCCAGCGCCGACAGCACGACTGAGGGCACGCCTGCCGATGGCTTCACAGTCCTCTCCACCAAGAGCCTCTTCCTCGGCCAGAAGGTAGGCAGATGCGCAGCCTCAGTCTACTGGAGGGCCCCCGGGACAGATGGGCACAGGCCATCTCCACTGGAAGGCTGGGGGGTCCCGGGGGCCACTCTCGGCCTCGTGGGTAGAGAGAGTGGGACATGAGCTTTGGGAGTGGCCTCAGGGAGGGCCATGTGCTGGGGAGGCCACAATGCTGGGGGGTGGGGGGGGACCCTGGCAGCTGGGGAAAGGAGACAGTAGTAAAAAAGAAGAGGGCAGGAGGCTTCTGTGGGAGATGGCGACCCTTGGTTAGTCTGGAGGAGGAGCTGCTTCTGTGGGATAAACTGGTCAGCAGATAGCACTGGCCAGGAAACTAGGCAGAAGTCAAGCCCTAGTGGTGGGAAGTGAACGATCTAGCCGGCAGCCTGCTTGTTCTGGGGGCACTAAAGGTAGAGCCTCAGGTCTGACCCAGGCTTGTACAGGGGATTGTTTCGACAGTACTGATGGGTGCATCGGGTTTCTTCACTGAACCACCAGATGACTCTTCCAGCTAATTGTTTGTTTTAACCATGGGCAATGTATTTTCAGCCGCCCCAGTGATGCAGCTTTGCCAGGACGCCATGGTTTTGTAAAAAGACGATTCACTTTTATTGAAAATAAAAATGATGCAAAGGCTTTTAAGAACTGAGAATGAGAGTTAACTAATATTTCTTGACACCAAAAAAGGGGTGGGAAGAAAGAATTAAGCTCTTCTTAATTTTTAAATCCTACACTTATAAAGGAATGAATTTGACTTCCCAAGTTAATCTGTGTTTAGTTTGAATGTGGTAACAAACTTGGATCTGAAGCTGCATCATTTTTAAACCCTCACTGTCAATTTCTTTTGCATCACAGTGACACGGTTCCCTTGCTCACGTCATTGCAAGTTCTCCACCTACCCCTCTCCCTCTTTCTGTCACTAATTGCACTCTCTCTCATGATGCAATTCCTGTGGTGAACTCTGTGTTCCAGAAAATAACCATTACTGTTTACATTTTTAACCATTCTCTGTATTTCGTATGCATTTTTCAAAAGAAAAAGTAGCACTAGTTGTCATCTTAAGGTCTGGGACTTTGAAAGTTTTTGTTTAAAATATTTTTTGTTCCTTTTAAAAAATTTCAACTCAGCAGTGAAGGCAACTGCCTGGGTCTACTTTCACCCCTGTAACATTTCCCTTGGGTAATGTATTGAAAGTTAACGTGACCCATCATCCACATTGTTTCTGTTTGAACTATAGAGCAGTTCAGCCCCTGGGGTCACCTTTCCCTCTTCTCCCCACTCTGCCCTTAGGCTCTCCCACCCTGGCCTCTCCCATCCCTGTGTTCTTGCTACCTCCTGCCAGCCACTCCAAAGGCAGCCTCAGATCAGAATTCCTCACACCTCTCTTGCTGGATGAACTAAAATATTTCCAAAGTAGCAGCAAACATGGCTGTAAAAATGTCCATGCACAGATGCAGATGCCCTTCTTGTTGCTCTGATCTTCTGAAAGAAATGGGATCACAGCCACCTCTGGGCTCTATGAGCCCTGGAAGGGAGGGGGCAAAGGCCACAGACATCTTGCTGGCTTCTCCCAAGAGCCAGGAACATGTCAGCTCTCAGCAACTTTTTTTTCCTTTTCAGATAGATCTGGTCTCAGGGCCAGGTGTCACACGAATAATTTTGGCTAATAATGACTGATTCCTACTCAGAGTTGGTAGGGTGAGGATACAAGAAGGCATAGAAGATTATTGATACTCTATAATAAATTACAAACATATCATTTAATGTTACTTAAGAAATGGAGAATGAAAGTGAGCTTAACAGTGAAACTAATGTGGTTATCTTGACTTCTCAAGGGAAAATTTGAAAGGAATGGTTAGGACGGAACCCAGTATAAAATGGTCAGCCATAACAGGAAGGGCTGAATGTAGACCCAGCCTAGCCCTCTTTTCCATATTACACACTTCTTAGTGGTGAAAAGAAAACACCAAGCTACCAAGAAACTGCCCTTCCTGTTTAATGTGCTTGCAACTTTATGACCCAAGATTCACATATCCAGGAAGAGGTACCTGAAAATTAGTGCGGCAGACACTGTTTAGCAGAAGAAACTCCATGTTCCCAAAATAAAGCAGCATCTTAAGTCAGCCTAGCATCAGTAATACAAACTAGGGTTCCAACTGCTCTTTCTGGAACCCTACACCCCTGCAGCATGAGATGGAGTGAGTGTTGATATATTAGAGCATTACTTGGAAGCATTACTTTCTGGCTTTTTATTGGCTATTACTGTCAGGTAAAAATCATGGCATATAGTGAACAAAAAGGCAAGAATCACGAAACTGATACACAGTTTTTACACGAAGCACATTTAAAACGTTGACATTAATTTTGACTTGGATTTTAGGAAATGTTTCACAAGGGGTACTTTAGAATGGTGTCAGTATGGTACCCTGTGTTCTATGCATCTCCTTTTTCCATCTGTGACATTGAAACCAGTGCTTGAATATTGCAAGCAAGCTGGGGTGCAGAAAGGTGATACTGTGCATGCTACAGCCCTGTAAGTCATGGTTGCTAAGCTACTCACAGGAGGCATGGCCTAAGCTTAGGAGCCTGATAATTGTTGTTAATGATGTATTTCACATACTGAAGTCTCACGAGTAATCCCAGTCGTTACTCTCTGATTTTGCCCAGTGTTCAAACACATTGCTGAATTGTTTTAAAAAGAAATCAGTGCTGTGAATCTGAGTCAACTAAATGCTTTTGCTCTGTGACCCAGCCAAGATTTTCAGCCTCTTTTTAGAGGTTTTAAAATTTTCCGAAAAATGTTTCTAATGTGTCTACTGTGTCAGTGGTAGTGAATGATTTAAGTTTCCTTGGTAGAGTCAGTATTATTTGAAGGAGTTGGGAAGGCAGTCTGAGGGTGTGATGAGTCTTCTTACCTCCCAAATGATCAAGATTACAACCCCAGCTCACAGGCCATTCAAGGCGGCATAACATACCATGGGTTTTCTCTCTTTGATCCACACACCCTTCTTCTGGAGGCTGGAAGAACTGTGAGGAGAAAGGGAGCTCTTGAAGCATCAGTGAGGGAGAAAAACCATTCACCCCTTCCCACCACTGTGGCTGAGGACTGACTTATGAGACAGTTTAGGAAACTGATAAAGCCATGAAGGAATGGCTCAGCTATAGGCCATGTGGCCATCCAGCAGTGTCTATCCATGTCCTTATCTTTGTGGGGCTCTTTCTAGCTGGACACACTAGATTTTGCTGCCAGTCCCAAGGCCTCTGGAGAAATCCAGGCTGGGCATGCATGCGTGCAGGGAGAGCCATACAGCATAGCTATGAGGGTAGGAGCCAGACTTGTAGTGTGCCCCAGGGAAGACACAGCTCTCAGGAGGAGTCTAGGAAGGGTCCTGTGGAAAACATTGCCCTTCCCATTCCCCTTGTAGAAGTGAACTTTGGGGACAGGAAAATAACTGTATTTTAGGTGACCAGCACAGGGAAATGAGACCAGCCAGGCTTTCTTCCTTGTTATGAGAGAATGAGAGACACCAAAATCTGACAGTCACAGGTTAGACTCAACATACCACTCAGGCACTTTTTTTTTTTTTTTTTTTTTTTTTTTTTTAGACGGAGTTTCACTCTTGTTACCCAGGCTGGAGTGCAATGGCGCGATCTCGGCTCACCGCAACCTCCACCTCCTGGGTTCAGGCAATTCTCCTGCCTCAGCCTCCCGAGTAGCTGGGATTACAGGCACGCGCCACCATGTCCAGCTAATTTTTTGTAATTTTAGTAGAGACGGGGTTTCACCATGTTGACCAAGATGGTCTCGATCTGTTGACCTCGTGATCCACCCGCCTCGGCCTCCCAAGGGCACTTTTTTTTTAAGAACCAAAAAGGAATGTACTATTTCCTGTAGCCAGGTAGGTCAGGTCAGGCAGTCTGCATGTCCATCCAGGCGCTCCTTCCCTGTCATATCAACAGACTGCCTCCTGCCCTGCCCTGCCCTACATGGTAGGGCCCCCCTCTTACCCAGGCGGGGGCATCTTGGCTCTGGGTTGCCTCAGATCCAAGCCAGGACCAGGGCTCATTTTTGAGCTCTGGCATTTCCATTAACCTTGCCTTAAAGGACAGCAGTGAGGGACAATAATTTCATCTGAGTTACGTCAGAGGATGTTTGATATTCACTTCTAACTCTACATGCCCAGGGGAAGCCCAGCACTGGCTTAGGCATTGTGCAGCACTCAGGGTTAGGAAGCCACACCAGATCTTGCCTTCAAAGAGATTTATTCTGATGAGCGCACACCATGAGTAAGGAGCAAGGGTTCCCACAGACATCCCCACCGCAAGGAAGCCTCGGGTACTGCTGGTCTCAGAAACTGACCCAGCAGAGCCAATGAGATTAGGATTGTCGGATTCCAGTGCTGGAAGGGATCTTGAAGGTTCCTTGGCTAAGACCCTTTCTGCCAACTGCATAGCCACGTGGGAACCCATCCTGCTTTATAGCTGGCAGTGCCCTATGGTTACTTTCTCCAGTGGCTAACAGTCTTCATAGCTGCTTTAAATTCCTCATGTTGTGGTTTAAAACTTAGTTTTCCATATTTCCTAATGATGGTACAAAGAGGCAATCACCTTACCCAAATTCTGAAACCATTAATGATCCGTTTTGCTCCCAGCAAATCAGACTAATGTTGGGAATTTTTACAGTTCCCAGAAATCTGATTTCCTAACCCACAAGGACCACTTCTCTGCCATGTGCTTCAGATGGACACACATCCCTGTAGCTGAGAAGCCCCATTGGATCTGACCCTAGCTGGTTGGAAGGAACCCTGGGGCCTCCCAGGACTGGACCTCTGTCTCGGCTCTACCTTGCCTATTCATGTATGACTGGACAGTGGGGCCCTGTCCAGACATGGGTGTCCATGGTCCATTTGCACCCTATGCTCATGGGCTTTCTTCTGTACAGTGGAGCTACTGTCTTTGTTCATGGTCATCTTGCTATTGGCTTCTGCCCACTGGCCCACCTGCCAAGTTGATTACCCATTTGTCTTTGCAAAGTACTTAATTTGTCTTCTCCTCTCCCCCTTCTTATCCCCTGATGCACACATCTCAAGCACATACTTTCTAGTCAGGATTATTTAAAAATACATATGTGTACACATAGCAGCGAAACTTTTGTGGCTCAGCTCTGTAACCTGAGGACTTCTGCTGAGCCCCTGTGTATAGCAGAGCGTAGTTGGAAAATCACAACTCTAGCCTCATCCACAGATGTGGAGAGAGTGAAACAGTACTTGATTGGCTGGGAATTCTCAATGCTGAGTTGTAATGGCTCCTTGAGGTACTGTAGTATGCACTTCCAAAAGTGGGTCTGCTTCTGGTCAGAAGGGAAGGCAGTGAGTCCAGAGGAAGCTGGGAATTCTCCATGAGTTTGAGTTCTGTTCGCAGCTGCTCCCTTGCTTCAGCAAAGCCAAGTTTCCCCCAGAGAATCCCATTCCCCTAGGCAAAGCAGGTGGTTCTCCCCAGAAGAGAGTCAGACACAGTCCAGAACGGGTCTTCCTGGCTAGCTGAATCAGAGCCTGTGAAAATAGCTGCTTTTCCAATGAAGCATTTCCAAATACAACACCAGAAGCATCTATACAATTGGAAAAAATTGTGTGAATTTTAAGAATTGAACATGTATTTTAAACAAAGGAATTTATAGATGCCTTAAAAGCATACACATCCACATTACACTGAATAGATTGAGTCTTTTTCTGCTTTGCCTGCCTTCCTCACCAACCTCCTGCCTCTTCACACTGTGTGGGGTGTGATTTGGTGGTGTGTAGCAGGGAGTATTGGCTTAATTTGAATTTTTATAAACAGCATTTGCTTGGAGCCAAATGCAGAACTAAGAAATAGAGTAAACTCCTTTGCCTTGTTCTAAATCCTGGGAGGTCACATGCCTTACCCTAAGCCCCCCCACTCTGTGGCTACCCATACCCCTCCTCCCTGATGGCAGCAGTCAGGCCCTGGCCCCTGTGCTGCCTCTTTTCTGTGCCTCTGTCCTGGTGCCAGGGCCCTGAGCTGCTGAGAGCTTCGCTTTGTGAGATCACTCCGATGGGCTTTCTTCAGCTTCAAGGGTGTGGGTGGCCTCTAAATCACTCTATAGTGCTAGGAGCAATAACCCAGAAAGTCCACATGGATAAAACTTGGTCCTCTTCTCTGAGTCTTTAACCAAAAATGAAGTCCACTGACCTGTCCAGAATTCTTCATTGGCTGTATGACAATACTTAATTCCACAACTGTTTCCTCCCAGAGGATGACTTTTAGTGTAAGCACACCCGTCTCTGAGAATCAGACTGCTTCTGGGAATAAAAAATATGGGTTTATATTTCTGATGCTTCTGGAGTGCCAGTTTTTTTGTTTGGTTTTGTTTTCAACAAAACGTTTGGCCCTAGAAATGCAGTGACTTGTTGCTCTGTTGCCAGGAGCTTCCCTGCCAAGTGTCTATGCACAGCCCTCTCCTAGGCAAGCTCCTGGACAAAGCCTCGTGCCCTGGTAAGCCCTGCAGGCTGCAGCCACTATTCTAGCCAAGGTCATAGTCTTGAGCACCAGCTCTGATTGGGCTACTCAGTCATCGTACTTGTCTGCAGGCATTAGGAATTTTTGTCACTGAAGAGTGAGCAGTGTCATTGAAAGAGCATGTGCAAGAGCGAGCTTTCCTGCAGACACTTGTACCTAAAGAAAAGCAAGGTGAATAGTAGGACCCAGGACAGCAGTCCTAAGCCCATTACTTCCCCGTACCTCTCTGACAGAATTTCAGATTCAGAATTCCTCGAATACTCAGATGCCAGGATTGCCATTGTAACAGAATAACAGTGGCTGGGGGGATACCCACTCAGTGGCTCTTCAGAAAGAACAAATTCATTGGGGTAGATATAAAACTTAAGGAAAAGAAACCACCCATTGAGACTCACAGCAACCTGACCAATAAGGTGAAAACCATTTAAAAGACACATTGTCTTACTGGAGAACTTTCCTCCCCTGGATTTCACCAGGGAACTTTAGCATTACATGACTAATGGGCACATAAATTAGATGTTACTAAGCAACAGACTATTCTCACTTCTTGCTACTCTGATCAGGGCAGGGAAGCTAGCCAGCAGTCACAGTGATGGGGACAGCCTTAAAGACCCATAGTCACTTGGATGACAATGGCAGAGCCACTAGGGGTTTGCCCCAGTCAGGTAGGATGTTTGCACCAGGCCATCACTCAAGGATGAGGACGCTCACATACACAGCCCCCACACTCAGCAATGAGTACTTATTCTAGGTCCTGACAACTGTCTTTGGCCCCCATATCACAAGTCCCTTTAAAGGAAAGCTGATTTCCTTGTCCAGTGTGGCTTGTGCTTCCTTTTGCCCCAAGCACCTCCCACAGGCTCTGAACATTCATCCTAGTTTGCTTGCTCTCGCATCCCAAGCAGCATTTGAGTCTTATGTTTGAAATGGGTTCATTTGAGCCAGCAACTCCCTGCTTCCCTTTGTGCCTCATGCACTTGGAGTGTCCACTGCCCTTTACCTGTATCCCAAGGCTCCTTCTCTGAGACTTCCCAGCTCTCCTGTTATTTCCCACCTCATGCTTTTCTTTGCAGCTGAACCTTATTCACAGTGAAATCAGTAATTTAGCCGGCTTTGAGGTGGAGGCCATAATCAATCCTACCAATGCTGACATTGACCTTAAAGATGACCTAGGTAATTGGGGACGGGGTTCGGCACCACCAGCTGTCAGATGAAAAGTTATGGAACCCAGAATTTAGGCGTTTCATCTTCCCAGACTTTATAATGGTGAAGCCAAATTTCCAAGTCAAGGATTGATACTTGAGTGTAGACACTGAATATCAACTTACTCCAGGCCCTTCCAAGTGTAAATGGTCTGATGTTTCATTAGGTGTGATTGGCTACTCTCTCCTCAACTGCAAACATATTGCCATCTAAATTCTCTTCCATAATGATCAAACTGACTGCTGGTTACTTGGGGAGGGATTTTTAAACATGTGTTGGTTTTTTTTTGTTTTGTTTTGTTTTTATTTTAGAACTGAAAAATCTCAGGTAACTACAAAATGATAGTTTCTCCATTTAAACCTTAATTAGAAATGACAAAGCTTGAAAGAGAAGACAAGTACATCAGTGTGGTATTAAGCTGCCTTTTTAGTCCACAACTTACTACCGTCACTTGAACTTTTTTTTAGAACTGAAAACAGTATATGACTGAATGCCACCTTCATGAATTATTTGTCTAGAGAATGGTATTAAACAGAAGGGCAGTATCTCCAAGCAAGTTCTTATGGAAAACTACCCCAGAATCATGGTATCTCGCTGCTCAAGATGGCAGATGGTTCAGGGTAGGCTGAGAGGTGCCCCTCAAGTGTCCTGCCTCCATGGCTTTATCTTTGCCTATGAGGCACTGTCAGCTCAACGGCACAACAAAGGGTCCTCTGCTGCCCTTCAGTATAGAGGCTTGCCGGGGAAATAAGCTACACAGATGCAGCCTCCTTCCTAATCCTCAACTGCAGTCTATTTTGAATGCCTTTAGCTCTCAGCTTCTGCTGCTTTTGTCAGACGGCAGACTTCCTTACTGGGAGATATACTCATTCCATGAGCCCAGGCCTCACCTACACAAACTGGGTGCAACAGTGGGCTGAAAACATGAGGACTGGACTCAAGAATGTCCAACTTGAACTTGTTTTCCAACTGCCTTATACAGATACTTAAAAAAAGGCCACAAGCTAGAAAAATCAAGGATTCTATCCAAAGCGCATTTTATACTAAAATACAAAGGCCAGGTGCAGTGGCTGACACCTGTAACTCCAGCACTTTGGGAGGTTGAGGCAGGAGGACTGAGTGAGGCCAGGAGTTGGAGCCCAACCTAGGCAAGATAGTGAGACCTCATCTCTACAAAAAATAAAAAACTTAGCTGGGCTTGATGACGTATGCCTGTAGTCTCAGCTACTTGGGAGGCTGAGGCAGGAGAACTGCTTGAGCCCAGGAGTTTGAAGCTGCAGTGAGCTATGATTGTATCACTGTACTGCAGCCCAGGCAACAGCAAGACCCTGTCTGTAAGAGGAAAAAAAAAATTAAACCATAAAAATAAGATAGGCTAGAGTAAGAAATGGGCCTGGAAAAATATTGATAGAGATCAGCCCATATGTTGAGGGTGGGAAATAAAGGTAATTCTCTATGTGTATCAATACTGTTTTCTGGGTTTTCAAGAGAAATCCCTTGAAGGTAGACAAAATGGTAAATGTTACAAGAATAAAAAAGCCTGCAAGTTGACTGCTGCAGACAGAATGGAGAAACTTGTTGTTTTGGTTGGCCTGATGGTCCACTTTTTTTTTTTTTTTAAGCAGATACCATGTTTTAGTAGCCTTCTCAGTGGGATGCCAGTTTTATAGGCTTTTGCGAAGTGAAACGGGGCATTCGTTTTATTTCTTTTAACCTTTGGAAATGATCTCATGTGTGTTTCTCTTTTTTTGGACTTGTCATTCAAATGTTTAATTTAAACATGTCACATTTGATATTCCTCCTCCTCCTGTCCTCACCCCCATCCACATGTGCGCACACTGCGTGGACTGATTGCCCCTTGGGCTCATATGTTGGAATCGACCAGGTAGGCCAGCCCTGCCATTGGGGCATTAGTAAATGTGCCTGTGCGTGGGTCTCGGTCCAACACAGTTGATATACATTTGTTTACCTGTTATAGTTGCAAGTTGTACAGGCTGACATTGCCTCGATCGACAGTGATGCTGTCGTTCACCCGACAAACACTGACTTCTACATCGGTGGTGAAGTAGGTAATGCCTAGCCGGGTGCTGCCGAGTGTGTGTGTGCATGGTCAGTCGGCCGCCGCAGACAGCTTGATCCTTTGACAGCTATGCAGGGCTGCATTCATTTCACACTTCCAGCTGTCCTCACCTTCCCAAGGTCTCCTGTCCCTGGGTCATGAACCTAGAAATAAAGCTAGCTGTCAGTCAGGATGTGATGTGTCACAAATGGGCATTTCTGGTTTGAAAACTGGTTCAGCAGGATCATTTCTTCACCTGCCCCACAAAGTATAGCTTTGTTGGAGACTGGGTTCACAGATGATTTCAGCTGCAGGAACAATACAGTCACATGGACTGAGTGGCATCCAAGACCACCTCTTTGCACTCTAAAGAGCAGACAAACACAAATGGCTGTGCACGGATCATCCCTCAACCCCGCCAATCTGTTTCCATGTCAGAAGCACACTTATTTCTGAAAATGCCCTTAAAGCCTCAGGTGCACAAGGAGGACCCTTTCCAAATGCTTGCTCACACTCAGGGTTCTCAGACCTCAGATGCATGAAAATCATGTCATTCTGACATGGTGTCCTTAGACCACTCATGAGAAACATCATCCTAGACCCAGAAAGCACCTTCCTTTCCCCTGGAAGCTGACAAGGCATTGTTGGTTGATTCCTGGTGTGCTCAATAGCTGAGGGTGGCTGAGACAGAGGGCACTTGAGATGCCACATCCTGAGGTTGAAGATTCCTGGCAGGAGCATCAGATAGTGCCTTGCTTTCAGAACACACTGAGGGGCCTGTCTGAGGAGGAGACACCCACGTGTGATAGAAAAAAAGCACAGCTTTGGAACTAGGTGGAACCAATTGGAATCCTAGCCTCACTATTTACTGATCATGGGGCCTGGGCAAGTCATTCAACTCTTCAGTGTTTCAGGTTCCCTATCTAAAAGGTAATGATAATGATGGGAATTACATTAAATGTAAGCAAAGCACCTTGTTTTGTAAAGCCTGGCTCATGACTGGTGCCTGCTGTAAGGTATCACTTGTGTGTATATAGGATTTTTATAGATGTGCTGGTCCTGAGAGCAGCATTCTGAGTCTGGATTCAAATGCCAGCTCCGAAAGAGAATGGTTACATTTCTAGTCAGCACACAGTGAAGTCAGCTGCAGGATGAGGAGATTGGGATTTCCACAAGGGTCCCAGATACTAGATATGCAGTAGCTTACAATCTCTGGCTTCCCAGCTGTGTTTGGCATCACTAGCAAAGACTGCCATTCAGTCTTCCCCAGCCACTGCAATTTGGACTAATCACTCTCCTGGGCATTTTGGATTTTGGACATGGATGGAAAGAAACTGGATGGAAATTCAGGATTTGCCAAGTCTGCCAGGCCAAAATGAAATCGGGCTGTAGGCAATTAAACTCCCCTTTCACAAGACTTTGGAGGAGTTAAAGGGCTCCAAAGTCAGACAGCTTAAGGGAAAGATGCTTCCTTTTTTAACCAAGTGTAAATTTAATGGGAGGAAAGTACTTATTTAGAGAAAAATAAATGAGAACAGCTAAGAGTTGTCTTTGTCATATCTGGGAGTGACTAAGGCATGGGTTCATCCTGCTATCAAGGACATTTGGCAAAATGGGAATTATGAAACTTCCTGGGCAAAAGTATCTTACCTAAGTCCAGGGAGAGGAGAAAGTCAGCCTGTCTGCTGCAGCCTGAGGAAGGCCATGCCTAGCAGGATTAGCCATGCCAGGAGGCAGAGTTGCAGCTTTGAGACAAGGCTGAAGCTATGAGGGAGTAACAGGCAGTGCCACCCAGAAGACCCCAGTCATTCCTGAACTGTGACTGGAACGGGTCTCTTTGGAGTAAGGACAGTATTAATGCTTTTCCTCTATGACGTGTTTGCCTACAACCCACAGATAGCCACAGGGTGGGGATTATTAGCTTTCAAGCCACAGGAGCAACCTGAACCCAAAAGCTTGCCCAGGACTCTGGCACACATCACTCACTGACATTGTCCCAGCTGCAGAAATCCTCAGCAGGTTCAGATACCGCAGCTGGCTAAGGCGGAAAGACCGCCAGGTCAGAACCCAGTCTTCCAAAGCCCCCCTGGGCTTTTTCTGCCCAGTGGACCAGCCCAAACCAGTACTGACCCCAGATATCTTTTGCAATCCCAGTGATAAACCAGATTCCTACATGGCTTCAATTGGTTTCAGCTCCCACTTTGATGTGTGAGAGGAGAAAAGAGGAAGCTAGTAATCACTCCATTTCTCATATTTGGTGTGAATTCCTGAGACTGCTGGAAGAAGGAATCCGAGTGCAGGAATGCTTAGCCCCAGTGATTAACTTTTACCCATCAAAAGTTCTTTCTAACAGTGAAATAGACCACAGGCTTAGCCTGACATTTGTCCAAGCCTAAATTTTCGCTTAGGCTGTTTTGAACACTGATACTTATGCCTGCTTTCTAAGCATGAAATAATGTTCTTGTTCTCATGGGAGTAACACATGTTTATGCTTGGGGGCAAATAAGCCAATTGCTTTATGATTAACCCTGAAGTTAAGCCTAAAAAGAAAGTCTTACAATAAGAGTGTTGACAATATGGTTGAAAATGGGCCTGTTTCTTGTTAAAAAGTACACGTGTGTCTACATGAACATGTGCATACATATGTGTGTGTAGGAGTCAAGTCCTGACTGGGTTGATTGCCTGCAATCTAGGGTTCAGTTTTTAAGTTTGGGAAATGCATTTAAGTGTATTTTTAACTTGCAAATTTCACTTTTAATTAAAGCAATATTAATAAGTAAAAATTTTAAAGTAAACACTCTTCCTAAGATAAAACACCTTTAATTATAAATCAGCCCATTTTCTTAAATATTTTAGAATGGAGTTGGTAATCATGATAAAGTAAAAACATTATTTTACCTTTCAGATTTCTCAGTTCTCACCAAAGAGTTAATTTGGTAAATAATGAGAACCCTAACTAGTCCAGCCTCCAGTGTTTTCATTGTCCTGCTTCAAGCCAGCGAATGGGTTTAAAAGCAAAGGCTAAACTGGGCCCCAGGGGCAGCAGTGTGTGGAATACAGCTGTTTCACGTTCCAGATTCCCTTTTCTCAGCTACAGGAATAATTTAGGTGAACCTGTATCGGGGTCTCACTCACCTGGGTTGCATCCACTTTGTGATGGTGGAGTTGGGCTCTAAGCCCCTAGCTTGCTTCCTCCAGTGCATGGCCCATTCAGCTGCCACCTCTGATGCTGACTTAATTAGAAGCATGCAGCAGCAAAAGGTGTGACATTTTGATTCTGCCATTTAAAGCCTGTTCTGCTTTTCAGGACAGGTAAAGGCAGGAGGACAGTCTGAGATAATGAAGAGTGACACAAAATCCCACCTTAAGGGTGCTAAGTTTGTACCTCTCCCAAAGCCCCACCCTCTCAGTCACAGCTGAGTGCTCCTCTGGGCGATGGCTGCTGGTCATGTTCATCTGCACACCCCAGGTATCCTGTGCCGGTGGGTACAGGCCCAGTCCTAGCCATTAGCCCTTGTTCTTATTTGGGAACCCCCAGGCTGTTTACTTTTCCTCCAAGACACCTCCTGGGGTTAGTTTACCCCTGCAGAACAAACATTGAAAGGAGGCAAGTTTCACTAAGATAATTAGTCCTACTCATTGCAGGGTGACTCCAAAGAAAATTTGGGCTGGTGCATTCCAGTACAGACTGTCCCATACCAGAATTGTGCCAGGTGCACCTGGAATTTTCTAAGACAAATGGTGAATCTTAAGGGGAGTATTTTGTCCTCTTATGAGGAAAAGTACTTTAAAATGTGCAAAACTGAGGAATCAGAGCTTAGGGAAGACTCAGACCCATTTTGGCCAAACTTGAAAGGCTGATATCATGTTGCTAACTTTGATTGCCATGTGCTATTTCACATGAGCATCAACCCAGAGTTCTCATGGGTGTTGGTGATCTTGGTTTTCATAGCAGGAATTCATTACTTCGCAAGTGCCCTAATTCAAGAAAACACATTGCCCAACCTCCATTGGCTTTTATAAAAAATCTGGTTCTAAGCAGTTAGCCTCCTTTCCAAGATTTTTATAGAATATAGATTAATCTTTAAGCTCTGCTTCTGATGTTGCCCTCCTTTACTGAAAATTATTCTGAATCCTTAGTGTAATTAAGAAAATACCGTCTAAGGCCATTTTTATTTTGTATTTGCATATGACACCAAAGCTGCAAAATAGGAACTAAGCATGGTAATAATGCTGGTCCAAAGGTGGCCACTTATGAACACTTCTTTTAGGCCTGCTGCCAAGAGGAGAGCTGGCTTCTTGATGGGAGCATTGTGTGCTGCTGAAACCTCCCTATTTGGGGGTTCTCCTCAGAGACAGAGAATAAAACCCAAGGTGGGCATTCGTCTTGGAAACCAGTACCAGTTGGTATTTCATGCCAGTGAAAAGCATCCAGGACAAGCATGCTTGCAAAAAAAAACAAGTGTCTCCTGTCTCCTTCACATCTCTGGCACATGCATGATGTGAAGAGTGTTTACTTTAAAATTTTTAAATTTTTAAAGGTCATCCATGACCCTGAGTCAGACCCAAATAAGGGGCAGCAGAGACAGCCAGGTGAAGCAGCAATGCAAGGCTAGTAACTGGTGATGACAAAGCCCTTCTCAATTTCAGTTTACTAACTCAGCCAAGACTTAGTTCCTGTTTTGCAGCCTGATGGAAATTTAGCTAGTCAGATCATTTGAAGTATGTAATCACCTGACATGCTAAGTGTCTCTGTGTGCCAGAGACACAGAATAGCAACCTGACCCCACCCTGTCCTTGTCTAGGAAACACGCTGGAGAAGAAAGGTGGCAAGGAGTTTGTGGAAGCTGTTCTAGAACTCCGGAAAAAGAACGGGCCCTTGGAAGTAGCTGGAGGTGAGTTGGGAAAGCCACTGTGCTTATTTTGTTGTGGCACATGCAATATTAGGAAAACCATTTTGAGACAGCTTTGAATTCAGGGGTACGTGGTATTACAGCCACATCGTCAAGCTGGAGGCCAAGGACAGCCTTTAGCTTTACAACTTAGAGTTTTATCACATGCGTTGTCTGGGAAAATCACCTTTGCATTTTTTTTTATTGCTTAAAAGAGTTCCTATGTGTTTGATGTCTAGATCTCAATTTTAAGGAATTATATAGGAGGTGAGTTTGGCACATGTAAGAGCTGAAAGTGAGTGATACTGAGCCATCTGCAAAACTGCTGGTGAGAGATGCAAATTAAAACTCTACAGCCATCTGTGTTTGTAATAGGAAACATATAAATACACATTTCTCATTTGCCAATTATGCCTTCCCCGGTATAACAGGAAGAAAATGACTTGGCATCTTATGTGGAGAGAATTATTGCTAAGACTTGGAGGCAAGGTACTTCTTGCTGCTTCAGGCCTGAATATAGGGATTTTAGGTGGTACTTTGGGGTATGCAAAACAGAGAACCTCCTGAGGACCTGAGAGATTCAATCAGTGGGGAGGCCCAGCTCCCCTACCAGCTGTTTGAGGACAGCCACCCACTTCCTTACTTCGGGCTCTGGTTTTCTCTTCTTACTACCTGATCCCACTGCCTATCCTGTCTTTCAAACCCTCTATTGTGAAAATGAATCTTAACTAAAGTTGGACATCGATAATTTCCACATAACATTCGAATAAGCTCTCTCTTGCAGGGTTCACTAGGCCTTGCCCCTCTGTTCCCGGCGACTGTAAATTACACCCCTTCCAGGCTAGTCTCAGGGTCCAGTAGGGATTCCCTTTGTTGATCTGTGCCTTTGACCTCTGCTTTGCCACTTCTGTTTTGCCTGCAAGGGATATGACATACAGGGCACTAATTATAAAGTTCTTCCAGGTAGTTCCACCAAAGTCCCACATTGTACAAGGGAGGGTATACACAGTGTTAATTACCCAGCCAAGGGCAGCTGGCCTTTCCCCAGGCCCTTTAAAACACCTCTTTGACCAGCCTGTGGGTCCTTTCCCATTGGGGTTCCAGCTTGAGTCCTGCTGGTAGCCCTTGGCACTAGAGTCTCCACACCACTGCTGATGTGGAGGCAGCCTGGTGCTGCTATGTACCAAACTCTGCTGGGGAAACCTCAACCACAGTAAATGCAAACCCATTATCAGCAGGGTTCAAGATATTTTTGCTTGTTTCAGTAACACTTCTGTTCTTGATTTTAAGAGCTACTTTAGAAAATGCTTTAAAATATTTTTAAAAGTATAAAGAGGCAAATAAAACATACTCCTGCTCAACTGCCCAAAGATAGTCACTGCTAAGTTTCCAGTCTTTTTCTCTGCATAGTTTAGCAGTGACTTCTTCTCATGGGGACAAACCCTTTGGTTGCATTCAACACCCCCGCCCCATGTCAGGTTTTTATAGGTTAGCCCAGAGTTCTCAAGCCAACACTCAAATTCACACCCTATGACTCAGCTATTTCTACTGTACCATCAGACACTACCCAGAGATTACTCCTTCTCCAGTATCTATGACACGACCATAAGAACCCATACCCCTTGGACAGATGTTCCTTAAAAAATGGGTTTCAGAAATACCCTACCAAAAAGTTTGGATGTTTTACTTCAGTGGTGGTGTGGAGATGCATATGCTCCTGTATAGAAGTATAGCATGCAGCACCCACTAAACCCAGTGCCCCACAATCTCTGCAGAGCATCTTATGAACAGATATCCTGGAACATGCTCTGGGAGACATGATACTTCGCAGTTTGTGGCAGACCCTAACCTAGGCTTGTGTCCTCAGATCTGGCAAGGGAAAGGCAGGTCTTTGGTGGAGATGTGTAGCTGGAAAGAGGCTCCTCTTTTAGGAAAAGAAAATAGCTCCTTCTCAAAAATTAATCTAATTCTGCCACAGATAAACAGGATCAATTATTCATATGGTTAGCCATCCTCAGCAGGGAGAAGACAAAGGCAGCAGAAATGCTGGTCAGGTTGCTTAGCAGATCATTTAAAGCAGTTGATTTCCTCATAGCTTAGTCCTGAATTGGGTCTGGGAGATTGAGAGATACATCATAGTAGAGACAAATACATATATCATACTGGTATGCAAGTTGATAATTTGCACACCAGTCAACTTAAGGGGGATTGGAAACCCAAAACATTTATTTTGAGGCTGAAAATGTTCTGATATGATCAGTTGGATTAGATGGGTAAGGCTCTGCCTCTGGGAGAACCCTGTATTCTCTCTGAGAATGGAGACAGGCTTACTGTGAACTTGATTAAAAAAATTCCTGGTGGTGACACATCGTAATGCCAACTTTCCAAGGGTGGGGCTTGGCTTGGCTCCCCCCTTTAAGTGAAAAGACTAAATGATGAGCAGTTCTTGGCTCAAGCTCACATTGGAATCACAACACAGCAGACAGCTGTGGAACTCCCCAGCCACAGGCCATTGGAGGGAGGGCCCAGGAAGATGTACCATGGCAGGGGAATGGGTCTGTGTTTGGTGTCTTGTGCTTTGCAGTGAACCAGAGCTCACTATTTCTGTTGTATCCCCCTACCACTAGCTGCTGTCAGTGCAGGCCACGGCCTGCCTGCCAAGTTTGTGATCCACTGTAATAGTCCAGTCTGGGGTGCAGACAAGTGTGAAGAACTTCTGGAAAAGACAGTGAAAAACTGCTTGGCCCTGGCTGATGATAAGAAGCTGAAATCCATTGCATTTCCATCCATCGGCAGCGGCAGGTAGGAGCACATGCTTGTTACATATCAGTCATGGGTGTGTCTCTCTGCGCACACATGGCCCATAATTGTGGAGCTCTCCTTCTGTGTAAGGCCTGCAGAGGCTAGGAGACCAGAAGCACGATATAGGGAAGAATGCAGACATTAAACAATGGTGAGGGACAATGAGAGGTACCCAATCCCAAGGATAATATAAAACTTTAGTTTTGATAGCAGATGTCATTACAGAAGGGGACCCCTGTGTGTTCACAGAAGGGGACCCCTGTGTGTACTGGGACCACAGAGATGGCACCTCGAAGTTAAGTTTTGAAGGGCACAATGACTTAGATGGCTGGAGAGGATCTGGAGGAGTGAATGCAGGAATACAGATGAACAGCATGCTGTCTCAGAATAAGCTATAGGCTGTGTTGTGGTCAGTCCCCCAAACCACAGTATTCTTTGGATAAAGCCCTCTATCCCTTGCCTTTCTACTCAAAAGCGTCTTTCATTGAGACACAGTTGTCTCTACCTGACTGTCTTACTGCCCTAGGTGACCCTGCTGGCCTGCTAATGAGGTAATGGGACCTGGTGGAATGGAATGGGGAATTATGTGAGATTTAAACAGGGCTGGGCCCTACCCCACTTCCTGTCCCAGAAATATCCCCAGGTAGACTCACCAAGGTCTTCAGGAGTAACAGAATTGCCCTTAAGACACAGACATACCCAGAGTACCACCACGGGAGAAGTCTAGTTTTTCAACAGCTGATGCATCTAGGGCTCAGGGTAAGCCCCCCAACACACCCCCCTGGTTGTGCACCCCACAGATGACAGCTAATAACCTATCAGGAACCAAGCACTCTGGCTTAGGAGTCAGGCCTGGGGTTGCATCCTGGCTTGGCCACTAACCAGGTGAGTGATGATACATAAATTAAGCCTCATTCTGAGAATCTGGCATCATAATCCCCTCATGCAGTGTCTCAGGGTTGCTCTAGAAATTAAGGGAGCTCTTAGACAGCAGAGTGCTTTCAGAAGTATATGCCATGATGCAGATATGAGGACCTGTCAGGGCAGAGCCACCTCCAAGATTGTGTCCCACTGCCCATCACTATAGTCCTCCTTACCAAGGGTCTAAGTCCAAGGCCTCTGGAAGGCTCGAGGTCTGCATTGGACACTAAAGCAAAGAGAATCTGGCCTGTAGAGGCTGCAGCTCTTAGCAACTTGGGCCCAAAAAGGAGGCATAACCTGGGGTTCTGTATTGCCAGGGGGTTGCTTTGGACAGAGTACCTGCTAGTGCTCCTGGGGCTTCCCACCCCAGCTTGTGAGCCTTCCAGGGTCTCTGCCCATCAGCCCCACCCAGCACCCAAGGAAGGCAGGGCTGTGCAGCACCAACTGCCTGTGACCCTGCAGGCTGCCCCTTCCTTCTGGGTAACAATGCCCTGAACTGGATAGAAAGCTGCTCTTTCCAAAGTACTTTCCTTCTAAACTTCTGAGAGGATAGAGAGTGGATTTTGCCTCCTGCATGCTGCCATCACTGAGGTCCCACACCTCAAGTACTGGTGGCAGAACTAGAACGGAGTGGGCTTCCTGGCATTTGACATTCTGCCTAGCAGAAGTCCTTGTCCACAGGCCAACAAGCACTGCCACCATTCCCCAGGGCTTTCTGTGGCCAAGGCCGTGTGCAACTGGCAGGCCCCACCATTACCTGGCTCTGGAGAAAGATCTCCAGTTGCACCTGAACCTTCTCTGGAGCCTCTAATCACTGCCCTCCACAACCCCCCCCCCCAACCTCCCCCAAACAAGGGCAAAACAGTAGAATCAGCATTTTCCCAGCAACCCCTCCCCAGTCAGTGAGCTACAGGCAAGCTTGTCTCCCCTGGCCTCGCAGCTCTGGTCCTGGGGCTCTGTGAGTGAGGCCCCTCAGCTCTCCTGTCCTGTGTGACCTTTGGTTAAATGAATCATCCTCTCTGCGCTGGTCTGCCTTATCAGCAAGTGAGGCTGTAGGGACTGCCCTTCCTCACAGATGGTTCTGAGGCCCCGTTAATTAATGCTTCGGATGCACTTTGATCTGCTCTGATGAAAGGTGCTTCCGAAGAGGGAGGCAATAGGAGATTTTATTGGAGGTAATAATTTCACACCCTTTCATATGGGTATTGGGAAATTTTTAATTGAAGCATAAAAGTAATTCCCATAAAAGAGCATCTGTTATTACAAACTTATTTACATTTTTCATGAAGTGAAACGTAGGAGTAAAAATAATCAATTGAAACCTTTAAGGGGGGGAAATGCCGAAGGCAGCACATGTGCGCAGCTACCTAGGCCACATCTGCCAGGCAGACCTCACCCCACAGAGCTGTGTAAACAGCTGCCCTCTCTTTCATGAGTAAAAACATGGGATTACACCAGAGCCAGCCAGTAAATCACAGTGGGTTTTAGGAAGGGAAATAAAACAGCTTGTTTGTTGCATCCAGTGTCTCTGACATGAAAGTCATGTCAGAATTAAAACAGTATAAATGCAAGCATGTAGGGAAACAGCCACTAGTAAAGGATCACTCTTAGCTGAGGCACAGTCTACGTGGAGGATGACCACAACCACACCTGTGTGATGGCTCCCTGTCCGCCTTGCTGGGGACAAGTGAGACCGTGGCATCCGGATATCATGTCCTCAGCCATTCTGGTCATGATAGTTATGGATACCCCACTCTCTCAGCTCTGACAATGGGGGTGACCCCTCTCCAGAGAGGTAGTACATAGAGAATACTAGTTTGGGGTTTTGATTAAACTTTCCTTAGATTTATAAGCTTAAAAGGAAAAGCTGATTTATTTTTTTCAAGCTATCTATTTATGGGTATGTGTCGAGCCCCAGGCACTGTGCTAAACCCTTTATCTGCATTATCTCACAGCAGCCCTACAAGGTGAGCGCTATTACTAATTCCCTTCAAGGGCAAAGAAACCAAAGCATAGAGGGGGTTAAGTAACTCATCTGAGGTCACTCAACTTGTACTTGGTAGAGCCAGAATTTGATCAGAAGCCCTGGGCTTCAGAACTGTGAGGCTCATGGAACCCCTGCCTCCTTTGGTCAGCCAGACCCCAGCTCCCACCTCCTCTCATGCCACCACAGGGCTGCCCCCTGCCTGCGTACTCTGTGCATAAAACACTACACGGAAACTCCCTGACTAGGTATAGCCATCAGCCTCTCTCCCCTCCTAAGTGCTGGCCTCACAGGAGAGATAAAAGGACAGAAACTCAAAGACCTTTGAATGGGGGATAAATTTTCATTTACCCAAAGCCTGGGGGCCTGGAGTGAGAGGCCACTTTGGGGTTGCCCTAGCCTCCTTTGCTGCAGGCGGCACAGTCAGGGGAGTGGTGGGCCCATCACCATTGATTCTGAATGTTCTCCCTCCTGTACCATTGCTGTCAGCTCAGGATCCTGATAGTTTGGTCTTTTGGATCAAAGTGGCCTATGGCTGGGGCAACGTCAAACAAACAACCAAGTAATTACTCAAAAATGGTTAAGGCCTAAGAGCAGCCCACAGCACAGTGCGAGGAAACCTAATCTTGGCAGAAGAGTGTCTATATCCTGAGTGACAGACATTTTCCCAACCCTGCCCACCAAGAATATCAGAATCCACCTCTACTCCTCCCCAGCCACTAAGGGCAAGCTCCCAGTCTATCTGCTCCAGAAAGTATCCCTGGGCTTCCTCTGACTCAGGTCCCTCATGAGCTCCTAGCCTGGCCCCAGCACTAGAGGGTGAGCTCACTGAGAGCAGGGGTGCTTGCTGAAGCCCCACACAAGGAGAGGGCTGAGCAGAGCTGGTATATGGTCCTTGGTGGAACTAGAGTCTCTGCATGTCTAGATGGGACCGTGGGACAAGCATCCAATGTGTGTGCTCCCCGCCATCACTAAGCAGGCTGACCCAAGGGGGCATCTGGCACTGGTCCTGGGAAACTGAGGTCCAGGACTCTTGGGAAAGGCAAAGGCTTTTACAGAGATAACTGGAGTGACTTTAGGGGAAGCTCAGATGTCTCTTTAGTCCACTCAAGGTCCCACCTCTATCATGTAGGAAACACTTTACTCCAGAGACACTTAAGGAACATGCCATAAACACAACCCACAGGTCAGGTCAGGGTCTGAAGAGAGTGGAAACGACATGCAAAGCACCCATCTCCCAGGTGGGGCTGATGGTGGCCGCAGCACTGGCAGCCTTATCACCACCACTGTTATCATCATTGCATAGACTCCTGAAATGCCTCATTTCCAGTGGAGGAAACTATGCTTAGAGGGATTAACACCCCAGCCCGAAGCAGCTGGAATTCAAGCCTGATTCTGACTCTAGAGTGGAAGTCCTTCACCCGTCTTGCTCTGTGGCAGCTGGAGGGCAGAGTGGCTGTCACAGGGGCCAGGCCAGACAGAAATGGCTATTCAGAGTGGCCGTGGTTATGCAAGTAGCAAGTGAACCCAGCTGAGAAGCCAAAGATGTGGCACCAGGGGCATCGGTGCTCTGAAAGTGGTCGGCACTGCGCTGGGGAGCCTCTGTGTAGCCCCTGCTGTTGCAGGCCCACAGTCACAGCCAGCAGCTCTGTGGGGTCTGAGGCCAACATTGTTAGCACTGACTACAAGGACAACAGCAGTCACCCAGTCACAGCTATCCCAGGGACGAGGTTGGAGGAGGCAATTTTCTACTGCATGAGCCTTTTAAAAGACCTTCAAGGCCACCTACTTTATAGACAGCTTCTCTTAACTGAAGACTCTCTGTGCCATACCCTGGTGTTACTGTGCATTTTCTTGTCCCATACTCTGACTCCATTTCGCTGGATGGGGAAACAAGGCACTGAAGCGGGACCACAACTCAAATCCTGTGTGACTCCAGGAAATCCTGAGCTCTTAACCACTCTCTCTACCCTGGAGGGAGTAGGGCTGTCAGTCTACCTGTGCCTCAGAGACAGAGCTGGGACTGACCTGCCCCAGCTGCTGCATGTGCCACCATTGCCTTTGTCTGGAGGCTGCAGGGCTGCGTGTGGAGTGCTCTTGCTAGGGCATCCACCTACACATTCCATTTTGCTGTAGTCATTCTAACTGGCAGCAAGACATTTTGAGGCCCACCAGAAAATGTTAGGAAAGCTATTACCTCCACCATTCCTTCCTGGCAGCCTGCACAGTCCAGAGCAGCCACAGTCCCATGGTATGGTTTCTTCCTTCGGCTGTGGCTTCCTAGGACAGAGGGAGGGATTTGTCAACAGAGGTTTTTCCTGGAAACAAATCCAGATTCATGTTCACCCACCAGCAACCCTGAAATGCTTGCAAGTTCCAGTGGAACTGCCGGCTCTCTCTTTACAGGAGGATAGGCAGGTGAGGACACGCAGTTCTAAAACTTGATACTGACCCTTCTCCCATATTTGCAGAGCCTCAACCTCTGGCTCCATGCTGCCAGCTTAGATCATAAAGTCCATGATCTGTTCTGTTTGTAGAACAGCAGTTGTCACAGAGTGGTCTCTAGACCTGCTGAATCAAACTCTTGTGTTTTGACAAACCCTCCAGAATTCTGATGCAGGCTACAGTTTTAGAACTGATGACATAGAGGAATAAGAAAGAACACTTTCTGAGTGAAAGTCACGTACCCTTTTGCAAGGGTCCAAAGCAGAGGCAGGGAAAGCCCCAGGATGGGTCTGTGTCAGAAAGCACTGGTCACAGGTGGGAGTGACTGGCACACTTTTGGTGTTCCATGGAGACCCCTTGGGACCTCCCAGTTGGCATGGCATGGGCATGGGCCAGGCCATGCTGTGCCTGCATCAAATTGCATCTCACCCAGCTTGTGTAGCCAAGTGTTAGAGACAGCTACCTGGGCAGGCAGCCCTGCTGCAGCTACAGAAGCCCTGCCCTGGGTCTAGCTCAGCTAGGCAGACCATCAGGCCATATGACAGCTGCTATTTGCAGCAGTTCCATAGGTCCTCACCACAGCCCAGCTCCCTGTGCAGGTATGAGGCTGAGACAGGCAGGAGGGCACCTCACCGTGGGGAGCTTGGAACTGGAAGAGTGTGGTCTTGGGCTTCACATCCAGAAAGCAACTTCTCACAGCTCCTCTAAGCCCCCATTCGTCCAGGTCACATCCACAGACTGGCTCTGCCTGCTCCAGAAGCCCCTGTAGTTCCCTTGACCCAAGTGCAGGCTACAACAGGACCAAGGAACCCAGCCCAAGCTGGAAGCAGCATGAGCTGCTGGAAAGATGCCCCAAAAAATAGAAGATTGAGTTTCTCTCCCCAAGCAATTCCCAACGGAGCTCATTCCAGACAACCTGTCCTCGGTTCTCCTTGACTCCTGTGAATATAGTCAAGGCAGCTGTGCCTGAGATTTCACATCTGCAAACAGCACTGGTGCCAGAGGAATGACCTGCCCACTCTCAGCAGAGCCCTTTTTCTTCCCTATCCGTGCCACACTCCATCCTGGCCCACCTATTGGTCTAGAATCACCAGGGTCTCCTGGGGAGGAAGCTGTGCAGGTCTAACACCACGGAGATGCCCACCGTACACATCTGGAAACCCCTCTACCTGGCAGCAGGTGCCCCACGTGAGGAAGAGCTCCAGCTGAAATAGGCAGGCTGGCCCAGTGCTTTGGACACCAACATGCCCTCAGGCTCAGGTAGATGATGACTATAGATCTGCCAGTGAACAAAGAGCTACCCATGAGAGCTGGCCCCAGACTCACCCTCAGTATCCTTAACTATAAAATGGGACCAATACGGGATGTGAATCCAGAGCCACTGGCTCTAAAACTGGGTTTTCACTAGACTACACAAGTTGCCCCTGTCCTTGTGGGTCGCCCACATGCCATGCTGACCAGGAGCAGCCTCAGACACACCACAGAGCAGTGAGGGCCACTGTTGCCAGTCCCAACTTCACCTATTGGTGAAATCTATTGGCTAGGATATTTTTAAGTCCGGAGCACCTACCTCCAAAAATTGCCACATGACATTGATTTGAAGTGGAAATGTATGTGGATTCAAATAGATTTGGCCTGGAAACTTGGATGATAGCCCTGAGTAGAACAGCTCACAGCTCCCTGCGTTCTGGCCTCTGAGGTGGTACTGCTGTGTGTGTTGGAGGGTGGATTCCTGGGCAGTGGCCCCTGGTATGAAGGGGTAACTCTTCTGTGTAGGTGGACAGCGGTCAGTGCCTTCCTAGAGAACCTGCAGCCATCCCCTGGAGCTGACATCAAGAGCCTGTGCTGTGGCTCAGGCACTGTGCTAGTGGCAGGGATGATGGAAAAAGAAATTCAGGAGCTCACACTGCACTTAATGCACACCACAAAACTATTCTGTGTACTTGCTGCTGCATTCTCTAGAAGCACATTGCACGTCCTTCTGCAGATGCCAGCTCTTTGCCCAGTTTTCTGTCTCCCATCCCGTCTTCTGGGCACTGGGCTTTCCCACACTGGTGTCCAAGCAGACATGGGGTTCAACACGCACCAACCCAACCCAAGGCAAGCTGCAGCCCGGAGGGAGGTGGCCCCGTAGGGCAGGGCAGGTCCTGCGTCACCGGTTGCATCCCAGTTGCTGAGTGCTTGTCTTTTCTCCTACAGGAACGGTTTTCCGAAGCAGACAGCAGCTCAGCTGATTCTGAAGGCCATCTCCAGTTACTTTGTGTCCACAATGTCCTCTTCCATCAAAACGGTGTACTTCGTGCTTTTTGACAGCGAGAGTATAGGGATCTATGTACAGGAAATGGCCAAGCTGGACGCCAACTAGGCTGAGCAACGACAGAACCAGCTGCACCATGTCCCCCACCTCCAATTTAAACGAAAAAAAGAAAAATCCCCTTCACTCCTACTGGGAGGTGGGAACCCTTTCATTTTCAGTTTTGCTCATCTAGGGAAAATAAGGCTTTGGTTTCCAGTTTAATTGTTTTTGACCTTCTAAAATGTTTTTATGTTAGCACTGATAGTTGGCATTACTGTTAAGCACTGTGTTCCAGACGGTGTCTGACTTAGTGTAACCTAGGAGATTTTCTAGTTTTATTTTAACGAAACCCTGATGGGCGCACAGCAGTGAGGAGAACAGCGTCTTTTACCTGTCCTCGAACCCAGGAAGCCCCATTTGTAACTGTGTGTTGTGGTGCTTTCTCGTACACCCAGTGGCGTTCTTTTTACTCTAATGTTCTTTTTTTTTCCTCAGAAGAATCATGAATTTGCAACAAACCTAATTTTTTGTTACTTTTTGTCTTAATGATGGATTTGAAAATGAAAGATTTAAAAGGAAAAGCAGAATCTGTTGTCCTTAATTATATTTGCAATTTGGAATTTGTGTGAGTTGATTTAGTAAAATGTTAAACTGTTGTTGTGACTGGCGTGTTTCAGTTACTGTGCCCATGAGTCGTGGGGTTCTAAGTCGGCCTCTGCAGCCACAGGATGCGGGGGCAGGGTGGTCCATCCCCCTTAACCCCCACCCCGCCCCCACAATTCCTTGGACCCTCACAGTTTCAGTGCAACTTGGGCCAGTGTGAGCCATCTGCTGGCCCCAGTGGTTTGTAGAAAGAATTCTTATAAATTCTTTCCTTTTGGTTGTATGTGATCCTTGGGCCAGGGTGTTATCCTCATTCCACAGATGAAGGAAGGAGTGTATCAAAAGTCGTGCGGGTGGCATGTGGCAGGCTGGCACAGAGCCAGGGCTCCAGACCCTGAGCCCAGCTCTCTCCTATTATCATCCCTTTCTGACAGTCTCTGGCTCAGGGCTGGGCCTAGCCACTTGCTAATGTAGCTGCTGGAGCCTCATGCCCTCTGCCGGGGCTGCTGGGTCTGTCATCCCTGTAAGACAGGATCCTGGCAGAAGGGTGCCAGGAGATTTTCAAGGACAAGCCGCCATGGCCAAGGCTCCTGGGATTTGCTGGCTGCTGTCACGTGCCTTCTCACCCCCAGGCTGTTGAGGGATGTTGATTATTGAGGAAGACCTCAGCCAAGCCAGAGTAGCTAAAATATGTTAGCAAAACATGGACACTTTTTGCTTCAAAGGGCACTTACACCTTAACCTAAATTTGCCTAAAATACTCCTTCTGTCTCTTTAAAAAAGTAAGAAACAAAGATAGATGCCTACTTCTAAAGCAGATTTTAACCAGGAAGAAATACGCAGTACACTTCATATCATGGAAGAATGTCAAGGATCACTTTTCCTTCCCAAACTGCACCTAATACAAACTCTTCAAAACAGAAGGTCCTAGACCATCACACCACCAATCTTTTCCATGAAAAGGCAACGACTTCCAACTCAAACCTGAAAGATGATTTTTCCAAATTTCATCTGAACATAAGGGGCTATGTTAAGTTTTTTATTTATTTATTTTTTTGAGATGGAGTTTCGCTCTAGTTACCCAGGCTGGAGTGCAATGGCGCGATCTCGGCTCATCGCAACCTCCGCCTCCTGGGTTCAGGCAATTCTCCTGCCTCAGCCTCCTGAGTAGCTGGGACTACAGGCATGCACCACCATGCCCAGCTAATTTTTTGTATTTTTAGTAGAGAACGGTGTTTCACCATGTTGACCAGGATGGTCTCGATCTCTTGACCTCGTGATCCACCCGCCTCGGCCTCCCAAAGTGCTGGGATTACAGGCTTGAGCCACCGTGCCCGGCCTATGTTAAGTTTATTTTCCAAGATCTTTGCTGGGTCTAGAGTACGTATTCCTACTTCTTGATTCGCGTTTGAAATGGGAGAGAGCAGTGGGGAGGGGGAAACTTTGCATTTTTTTTTTTAAGAAGATGCATCTTAAAATGATACCACTTCATAGTTAATAATAGTAAACTGCTTAGACAAACCATACTATGCGGCCCTCCACCTGAGAGCATTATTTCTGCAGTGTGGATGGAGGGTAATGGAAAATTGTGGCTACTATTAGCTTATCAGACTGATATTTACTGTATGTCAGGTACTGTGCTGAGTCCTTCATGGGCATCATTTCATTTGGTCATTGCAATAACCCTATAGGGCAGTTCCTATTATTAGATACATTTTATAGCTGGGAGGAGATCACACTGCTGAAAAGTGACAACCAGATTCAAATGCAGAGTTTCTGACTGCTGTGATACAGGGTTCCTGGTGGCACACTCTTATCAGCAGTCAGAGTCCATTCAGCCTTGGTGGTATTTCTAACTCAGACACTGAAACACAGAGGGACTTTTACATGGACACAGGGTTTAAATGACGTGTTTTTTTGTTTTTGTTTTTTTTTTGAGATGGAGTTTCACTCTTGTTACGCAGGCTGGAGTGCAATGGCTCAATCTCAGCTCACCACAATCTCTGCCTCCTGGGTTCAGGCAATTCTCCTGCCTCAGCCTCCTGAGTAGCTGGAATTACAGGCACGTGCCACCATGCCCAGCTAATTTTTTGTATTTTTAGTGGAGACGGGGTTTCACCATTAAATGACTTCTTGATTAATTGGATGGGCTTAACTTTAGAGGAACACCATAGAAGCAAATGTGTTTTTCAAAGATCCTCCACTAGATGTCACTAAAAGGATTAAGAACTAGAGAAAAGGGTTGATCCTTGTGATTGCACAAAAGAAGAAACTGCATTTATCCATGTTTGCATGAATGATTTACCATGATCACCTAAATGTTTCTAAACTTTGAATAATCCAAAATGCATCATGCCCTGTGATGTGCGTACACTGAAGAAACTCTTTCCAATGAAACTGAGGGGAAGTGAGCCAATGAGCTGCCTGGAGTTTCCCCTATTTCTAAGCCACTCAGTTCATTTTAAAAACTGGGATCAAAAACTGTTCTCTGATGTCAGCCTCATGCTTTAGGGGGGGAAAAAAGCTCATTACTTTTAAAAAATTGGAACAACTGCAAGGAACGTCTTGAAATGCACACATGCCTCTATTCAAATGACAAGTTTGCAGCTAGTAAACTTACCAGAAATGAAAGTATTTTGTGAGGGGGTAAAATCCTGCTAGAGAGGTTAAGTGTTACAGCCCAGCCCTTCTCTTCACTGTAAGCCTTCAGAGGCAGGCGTGCAGTGGGTGCCACTGACAGAGCTGCCCCATCCACTGTTGCTGTGCTGAGCCCCCGCCAGCCTACCCCAACCTCAGAGCCATGCCTCCCTGTGATCCAGCGGCAGTATTAGGCAGACAACACCCGTTCCCATTCATTTCGCAAGAACAATTCTTGCCCTCAACAGCTGGGCCCTGCCCTGAATAATCCAGATGATTTTCTCAGTGCTCCTCCATAGGTCCCTTTAAATAACACCTGAGATCTACCGCAATGCTGTGGCTCCAACTGGGACTACACTGACAACCACCACTGAATGGGTGTGTCCTCTACATACATCATTGTGTGTGACCTCTACATACATACAGAGACCCTATGAGGTAGGTAATACTATCCCTGTTTTACAGATGAGGAAACTATGACTATGACACAGAGAGGTGAAGTGTATTCCCCACACACAGCCATGAATGGTAGAGGTGGGATTTGAACCCAGCTCTGACTCTACAACCAACTCCCTGGAGCTGAAGTCTCCTTTGCTATCCATCCCAATATTTTGTTCTTCAGGTTATGCAGGGCTTCTTGCCTACTCACTGAGAGGTCCTGTGTGGCTGTCCCTGGAAACAAACAGAACTTGTTGGATGACAGATGAATAGGAATGTGCATTTAAAGCAATCCAATGGTCAACAAGGACTTACTGAATGCTCTCTATGAAAGAGGCCTCAGATTAAGGGTTTCTTACAAAGGTGGGTAAGCAGGCATTGTCCAACAAGCACTAACCCAGAGAGGTACCTGCTAAAAAGGCAGAGGCTCAGAGCAGAGTTTTACCCACTGGCTAAGCAGGCTCAAGAAGGGCTTCTTGGAGCAGTAATCCTAGTTCTGGATTTGGTAGGAAAGGTGATGGGTAACAGAAGGAAGGCTGGCATAGGGGCTGATCCCTCAGCCCCAGGTGGGGAGCTCTTGCACACTCTGTGGAGAATCTCAGTCTGCACCCTCTTGCACCTAGGACAGCCACTTCAGCGCTGGCCTCTGCTCGCTACACGCCATCTCCAGCATTTGAAGTTGTCCACCCATGAATTTGTCTGTGGCCGAATTCCCCCTCCCATTCAGGGTCAGGGGGCTGTGTTTGGTCACAGCTGTAGTCAGTCCTGACAGAGGACTTGGCCTACACCAAGGCAAAAACAGAAAAAAGGAAAAGAAGTGGGCGGTAACTTCCCTTTCTCACCCAAGGTCCTGCCCTTCCAGTCCCAGGGTGGTCAGCCTTTCTCAGGAGGTGGAAGCCCCCACTGGGCCTGTCTACTCTGGGCCTGTCTACTTTGGGTCAGGCAAGCCTCTCATTTCCTTATTTGTCACTCAGGCTGCCTTGTCCATCGCCCTGAATGGTCCTGGAATGATGGCTTGGTCAATTTATTCATTAGCAACTACGATGTTTAATTTTCGCTGGCGGGCACCCCTAGCTGATGTTATCTTGGGAGCTGGCCTTGGTGCCGCCTTCCAGTGATCCACCTGAAGGCACTGGGGTGAGGAGGGGGTCCTGGGGCCCACTCCCGGCTGAGAAGAAAGGGGAATGCTCAATGACAGGGGGCAAGGCCACCTTTTCTTCCATTTATAACCTGGCCTGTTGTGTTTGCTTCTGGGGGCCCCCCATATCAAAACAATATCACATGAGCCTCCTGACAGGCAAGCAGTAACACTGCTCATTAATCCCCGGCCCCCACCCTGCCCTCCATGCACCTCTGCAAGGTGTGTAAATAGAGTGGCCTTTCCCTGACCCTGGAAACCAACCCAGCCTGGGCTACCTTGTCAAACTCAGAGAAGAGAGTCTTAGGAACACTCTCTGTAGGAAGCACTTCTTCCTCACTCCCCTTCCACGCTAAGCAACACTCACCCATTCCCACGCGCATGCACACGCACACACACACGCACATAGTGAGGTCCCAGAGCCCTCTGTGTTGGCAGAGTATAGAAATGAGGAACATGCAGACACCCTTTGAACTTGGGCAGAGAGCAGCCAGGATTCTGTCTCCCACAAAACATAGCTGACATTTCTCCTCGAGAGACCCTCCTTGGCCTATTTTGCGCTGTGAAGTGACCAGAACTGTCTGCACACCTTCCACTAACAACTTCCTTGGCTCACTTAGAACAGGGCACCTGGGACCCCCTGGGGTCTGATGAGGGACCCAGCACCCACAGCAGAGGACAGCAGCCATGCACCACCGCGGCCTGTGCACACTCAGTGTCTGCATGAATGTGCCCTAGAGCACCCCTAGCAGGTCATGTGCTCCCTGGCAAAGAGGCCCTGTGATGGCCCTGCTGGGCAGAGGAGGAAAACGGTCCCAATGTCATGGGTTAAAGGTCACC